ACCCCGCGTCCGCCGCGGCAGGTTAATCGCCGCCATGAAAATTTCATCATCGTTTAATATTTTAACGAGTCGTCTCGACGCGCGTGCATCGAGACTAAAGCGAAAATCATCGTGGAAGCGGGGAACGACGAACCGAAGTTCGGTCGCGACCGACGAACTTCTGCAGTTTCCCATTCTTCCGAGAATAATCCTGCAACAATTCCAGTCGCGGCGACGTTACGCCGGCTCGCTCGTCGACTAACACGTGGACGTGTCCAGGTGCTCGCCAAATAGCAACTTTATTGCGATGTATCCGGCGATGCTGGCAGCCATCGGGGCCGAAGACGAGAACGGAAACGAGCAGGAGGGACGGGGCAGCCGGCGAGCGGATGACCGTCGATATTCGGGACGGACCGCCAATAAGGAGGACGTACGATTCCGTGCGGGAACGAGCGGTGTTTCGAGCGGCGCAATTTCCGAGCGGGCCGCCTCGCGGGTGTCCCTTCCTCGGAGAAGCGGATCGTTTATCGGCCCTCCGGTGGTTCGATTAATGAACGGATAATCGATTTGCGCCAATTCCGTAGAAGCCGGGCTACCAAAGTACAACGTCTTTGATGACGTAACCGCAAATCGTCGGATCGACGCGATATACCAGTCGGCGGCGGCGACGGAGGAGGAGGCGGAGGCGGAGGCGGAGGAGGCGGAGGGTCGCGCGCGGTTTTCCAGCGAAAACAATTTCGCTGTCTTCTCAATCCGCTGCAAACCACAATGGAATTTATCGTCTATACCTATGGACCGGGATTCGTACCGCAACTGTTTTCAAAGGAACACCGCAACCGGCGTAAAGGGAACGAGATTTCAACGCTTTCCCGGGGTGCGTCGCGCTTTCTCTCCTGTGTGCACAACCTGCCGCGTCGGGACGCCGCGCGACTCGACGCGATTCGACTCGACTCGACGCGACGGCAACGATTTTATCCCCGAAGCTCGTTCGGTTCGATAACACGCGTGCATATCGGTCCAATCCCCCCCGCCCCCCGGTTTCCTCGCTTTTAATCGGTTCGACTCTCGGATCGCCGCGCGTCTCCCCGCGCGTCCCCCCCGGAGAAAGCACAGAGACGAGCGGCGTGGCGCATAGACAACGCGCGCCGGGTCTGTCTCCGCTGTCGAAAACCAGGAAGACGCGTCCCTGATAAAGCCTGCCGTTACCATACCGTTGCCCCCTCCTCCCCCTCCGCCGCCGCACTCCCTCCCCCGTTCCCGCGATTTTTCTCCGTCGCCGCATCGACGACCGAGTTTTGCTTTTTCGCCCGCGAATCGGACGGGAAAAGCGATATCGTCCGTCGAGAGTAGGACGTGCGCGAAACAAACGAAAAAGACTCGCCGGCTTTGATCCGGCCGAGGGTTCCCTTTCGACGTCGACCACGCTCCTCTCTCTCTCTCTCTCTCACACTCGTTTCCTCTCTATGCGCCACCCACTCTCCGGCGCCCCTGTCTCTCTGCGGTGCGGCGAGGCGCGCGGAGAGAGCGCGCGCGGTTAACGATTACCATTATCGTTACCGTAACGAACGAAATTGGCCATCGCGTCAGTTTCAGTTTGCGGAACAAAGTGACCCATGAAGAAGGCGAGGGGGGGAGGAGGAGGGGAGAGAGGCCGGCGGAGCTAGAGAGGCCTAGAGAGGGTCGGGAAAAACGATTATCCCGTTACGTTTTCATGCCGGCGATGGATCCCACCGCATCCCGCAACGGTGCCCACGCGGGGGGAACGCGTTTTTCTTGCCTCGAAACGGCCGGCCGGATGGGCGGATGGGGGACGAGGGGAGGACTACGGGGGAGAGACGCGGAGAAATGAAACGGGGGAGAATCGGTCGCGAGACCCGGCCGGCGCCGCAACGAACGTCGACGAATCGCCGGAAAAGAAAACAGCGGAAAGTTAATTTCTCCTCCGCTCTCGCTTCTTCTCCTTCGGTCCCTTTTTGTTCCATTCACGAAGATTTCCCCGCGGAACGCGTTTACAAACGACCGAGCTTATTATCGCCTCTAAAGCGTCTCTCGAATCCGGTCGCGCTCCCGGTGAAAATGGAATAATTGTTTCGTCCGTCGACCCGTTCCTCCCTTTCCCTGCGTCTCCGTCTGTCCCGCCACCCTGTTCTCCCCCCATCGTCGACGAGCCTCCGGACGTCGCGAGCCGATCGTTGATACGCGCGCGATGCTCGCGCGGCGATCGATTCGCGGCGCGGCGCGGCGCGGCTCGCCGTTTGATCGCGCGATCGTCCGTGATCGGGATCTGCCGCGCGATCTCGATTACGCGCGCGCGCGCGCGACAGCAGCAACAGCAACAGCAGCAGCAACAACAGCAACGACGCGGACGTTGCACGCGCGCGGAAAACCCGAATCGATCTAGAATCCCGTTAACGCGCGCCGACTATTTTCAATTTGCCCTCGGAGAAAACTCGGAGCCGCTCGAACGGAAATGGGACGCGTTCCCGGGGCCGTGAATACTAACAACAATCAGAGTGGAATTAACTATTGTTTCGTATCGATCCGCGTTCGCCGAGTCTGGCTGGCAACGGGGCCGGATATTGATAATTACGCGGGACACGGTGTTGTACCGGGTGTCGTTCCGTTACGGCCGAAACGAGCCGCGGCCCGGCCTCCCTTTACGGCCGGCCTCGCTCTCGTCCATGCACACCGTCTCCGCAAGGATACACGCGACAGCATCGGTCCGAGAAACGTCAGAGGAATTCTTGAAACGATATCGCTCTACCGTGAATCGAAATTACCGCCGCGCGTTTCGCCCGTCGTAATTAACGCGTCCACGGTTTTGGTCCTCGCGGACGAAGCGAAAGAAGCTGGGCGGTTTTTATGGGACATTTCGACGGTTGTGGAAAAATCGTGTAAAAGCCGAAGAGAATTTTTATGAACTACGTGATCCGATGGACCGCGTCGTTTCGCTTCTTCCGCTCGTTTCGCGCGCACCTGGTGACAACGTCGACGACTTTTTCACCGGTTCCCCGAGGAACGTTTGAACGGGAATTGCGTCAATATTATCATCGATGCGATTATATGATGCGCGTTATGTTCTGGTCCTCTGTGTAAACTACGCGAACGTAGAAGCGAAGGGCTTCGAAATCCGTTTAGCAATAAATAATAATAAAAGGATCCACGACGCGCCGCGAGGATCGGAGCGATCAGATTTCGCACTCGCGTCGCACCTCTGTCACCGAGCTTTCGACACTCTGGATAATTTATGTATCCGGCTCTCTTATGAATTCATGAGCTGAATGCCTAAGCGGTCCTAGGACATGTTGCGTCCGGACGGATCTTATCGAGTTAAGCGGGCCGGAATACGGAAAAAGGAATGAACCACGATGCGCGGCGTTATTGCAGCGGGCTCCGTTTTGATACGGGGAAACCGTGTAGAAACGGGCGGCGGCCGACAGAAGCTAGAATGCGGTCGGTATCGCGCCGGAATGATCGTTAAGGTTAAGAAATTGGAGTACGGACGAATCCGCTCGCAATCTCCGCCGCTGGAATCCGCTGGAGATCCGCGCCGGTGCACTCCTCGATACCTTTGAGCTGGCCGCTCCGAGCGGAAAAGTCCGCAGGCGACGCTCGCGAACACGCCATCGAGCGTGTCGCCGGGAGATCCGATGTATCGAAGAGGTACGCGGATCGATGTATCTTGGATTGTGTAACGAGTCCGTTCGCGGTCCTCTGATACTTAGGAGAAGACGCGGAAAATTACACGAATTTAAGGCGATAGTTCCGATGAATTTCGTGATACGTTCTCGCGGGGCTATTTTCGTGCAGCTTGGCTCAAATGAAAGCTGGAAGCGTCTATTTTAAGACGGGGTAGATTAGATTGCAATAGAACGTCGAGATCACTTCGAAACATTGAAAGGAATCGACCTTTGACATCGTGGGGTTCGCAGGATTTAAAAGGGAAAATCCAGATGGATTTTCAGAAACGTCTTCATAGAGCTATTTACATGCAACTCGGCTTAACTTAAAGCTAGAAGCATTTGTTTTAAGATAGGATAGATTAGATTGCAAGAGAACGTCGAGATCATTTCGAAAAATTGAAAGGAATCGACTTCTGACAACATGGGGTTCGCAGAATTTAAAAGGGAAAGTTCTGATGGATTTTAAGAAACGTCGCCGTAGAGCTATTTCTACGCAACTCAGCTTAAATTAAAGCTAGAAGCATTTATTTTAAGATGGGGTAGATTATATTGCAAGAGAACGTCGAGATCATTTCGAAAAATTGAAAGGAATCGACTTCTGACATCATGGGGTTCGCAGGATTTAAAAGGGAAAGTTTTGATGGCTTTTAAGAAACGTCTTCATAGAGCTATTTCCATGCAACTTAGCTTAAATTAAAGCTAAAAGCCTCTATTTGAAGACACAATAGATTAGATTGCAATAAAATGACTAGATTATTTCGTAAAATCAAAAGGAATCGACCTCCGACATCATAGCGCTAGCAAGCTTTAAAAGGAATTGTTCCGATGGATTTTAAGATGGTTCTCCGTAGAGCTATTTACACGCATCTCGATTTAAATGCAAGCTGGAAGCGTCTACTTTAAGACAGGATAGATTAGATTGGAATAGAACGTCGAGATCATTTCGAAAAATCAAAAGGAATCGACCTCCGACATCATGGCGCTGGCAAGCTTTAAAAGGAAATATTTCCGATGGATTTTAAGATGGTCTCCGTGGAGCGATTTCCGTGGAACTCGGCTCAAACGAAAGCTGGAACTGTCTACTATTTTCTCGGAAGAAAACGCGGGCGAATTTATTACACGACTTAATGACAACAGCGGCGGCGTCGAAAGCCGAAGATCGGCTATCACGGCGGTGGCGGTCGGCACTCGTCGCGCGTCAGACCTCGAGGTTCGAGTGGCGGCCGCGTGCGTTTTGCACCTGGCCGGCCCGCAACGCGCACGCGCCCAGGTGCACGACCTACCGGCGCACACGGAGCTAAACTGGCGCGACGTCGAGCTTTCGTAGTCGGCATCGGCCATCCGCGACGCGAACTTTCACTCGGAGACGCTCCTCGCCGTGCCGAGCCGTGCTGTGCCGTGCCGGGCAGCGCCGCGACGCGACACGTCGCGACGCCGTTCAACACCGCTCCGAAACAACGTACGCGACCACGGGCCGCCTCCAGTAAGGATACGTCGACGATCCCGCATCCTTAGACGACCTCCAAACAGTTTCAAACTCGCTCCTCCGCCGATCTCTCGCTCCGTTCCCGTTCGTTTTCTATCGGACTCGCGATCCACGGCCGTCCTCTCACTCGTCGATCATCCGAAATTTGGGATATATATATAGATCGTTTCGCAACGTGTCGCAACATTTTTCTAAAGCTCGATCCGTCTTCGATTAATCATTTTTCGTTTCGCGATCGTTCGATTTCGGATCATTTTCCGGGCTGGTTTCCCTTTCGACGTTGACCCGTCGCTGACAAATGATCCGGATCAATTCGAAATCGTTCCAGAAAGCTTCTTGTAATATTTTTAAATTCGCCTGCCCTCTCCCCACCGATTTTTCCATCTTGAGAACTGCACAATTCTTCGAGGTCGGACCGCTCCGGTTTCCCTTTCGGTAGATGTTCTGGAACTCGGGATGGATCGGTTCTAAACGGGACCATAATCCGTCCGTGTCGCGGCAATCGGTTCTTCGGGGGCTTAAATTTTGAATCAGGTTTGCTCGCGGCGTCGCGCTCCGCCGACTACTCGCAAGTATTTGCCTCCGTCCGTTGAGGAAATATTGAATATTTATGCGGTAAATTTTGCCCAGGGATTTCTGCGCGTAGCGAGGATAAATTTTACTCGATTCCCATCGAGCTTGTTGCAAAAGGGTCCACTCCGCCGGCGAAACGTCTCGCATAAATAACGGCCGGCCTTTTGATACGCGCTCGGCACTTTGAAACACGATTTTTAATTGCTCGGACGGAAAGTCTCCTCCTCTCTCGCGTCATCAACGAATTCGAGAAAAGTTACTTTTTTCCCCGGGCTGCTGCGTTCCCGTTCCCGAGAGTGTTTCCCCGCAAGTGTTTCCACATTCCCGTAAACGTCGCTCGAACTCTGTGCGGTACAGACGGATAATTGAACGCTGGGCGAGACATGGTGAACGTCGCTTACGATCGTCGGAGGACGAGCCGGGCGACGGGAGGGGCAGTAAAATCTCCGTCGTGAAAATCGCCGTGAAAAATCCTCGAGAAATTCGGTGCCGCGAAGGGAAGGTGACACGGCGTTCTCGCGCGAGCGTTGGCCACCGAAAAATCCCATCTCCGGCAGCTCGTCGGCGACTCGTCGACGAATCGTCGCCGCGGTCTCATCGGATGGATCCGAAAGGGAATAGTCTCGAATCGATACGCATTCGTGTCACACGGTCGGCGAAGGTAGACCGCGGGACCGCCGAGCGGATAGAACGACGATAGAAATCGTATCGCGTGCGTGGTCTCCGGCCGACGGGTGTCCCCTTGCACGTGTCGGCAGGCCGGGGACAGAGAAAAACAAGGGCCGGTCCGCTGTGCAAGCTGGTCCGGTTTAAATAATTCAGCATCCGTTGGTCCTCCGGCGGCAGGGCGCGCTTCCGGTTCCAGGTTCGGCGAACGCGGACCGTCAGGCTCTCTCCGGCTATCGATTTCCGAACGGATCTCGAGCCGCGCGCTCTGCTCGACCTGGATCCGCGTCGGCTCGATATGTCCGCGAGAGATTTCGGCGTCGATTCTCGCAAAACAGGAACGGAGGGGGCGAATCGGAATCGGAAACGAGCGACCGGATCGATCGACCGACCGACCGACCGACCGGACCGCGCGTGTACGCGCGGCACGCGTGCACGCTTCCTCCGACGCGAAAGACACACACGTGCGCGTTTCCCAGTCGAAGAAGCTCGGAGCTTTGGGCGAGATTGCAACAAGTTGCATTTAAAAGCCGTACCCTCCGTACGCCGGCTGGCTTCCTTTTTCTCTTTTCTTCTCTCGCGGCATTCCTATCACCCTCGTTCCTCTCCCTCTTTCTCTCTCTCTCTTCTCCGCTCTTCCGCCTCGCTCCTTCTCTCTCTCTCTCTCTCTCTCTCTCCTACGTTCACTTCCTCTCTTTTCCCGTCTACTGTAACCACCCTCTCGCCTGTTTCTCATTCTTTCGCGTGTTCGACGTCGGCTCTTTTTCCCTGACGTTCATCCGCCTCGAACAAAAGCCGAACAGGTCCTCTTTCTCCCTCTCTCTCGACAAGGCGATTTCTCTCTGTCCCAAAGAGAATACGCTCTCTTCGGCCACGTCCTCCGAAAGTTTCGCCGATTGTCGTTTAGCTGGCAGGTCGTACAGTCGGCCGGCGATTTCCCGTGGGTAATTATCGGGCGAAATAATTTAGAGAATCTGGCCGCGATCGACGAATCGGACGCCGCTGCCAACCGAGCAACACCGAGTCACCCTGTCCCCCCCGTCGCCCCGAGTCGCCCAGTGTCGTCCCCCTTGCCCCCCGTTTCCTCCTCGCCGCTCGAATCGCCCCGAATCTTCCCGAGAGCGAGAAGACGCGACCAGAGCCTCTCTCTCTCTCTCTTTCGCTTCGCAGATATCCCCGGATCTTATTTTTCGTCGACGCTGCGATCGTTGTACGAGATTCGACTGAGAATTACCCGTCCTCCCAGCGGAACTGTCCCGGTGCCAAACTATCGCGGGCTCCGCGCGTTCCCCGCTATCGGCCGGCGAGATCGGATGACGCGGCGTTACTCAAAAATCGCGGAAACTTCGGAATCCTCGCGCGGCGGCGGGGAGCGTTTTTAAAGCCCGAAACCGTTCCGCTGCGAAACCCGACGAACAATCCGAGCCCACTCGACGGAAAGCGGGGCTCGTAATACTTTCCCAGGGTCGGATCGCAGCCACCTCCTCCTCCTCCTCCCCACGCGCTGCCCCTTTCTCTCACTCTCTTTCCGCTTTCTCCGCTCGCGTTTTTGCGCGCAGCGTTCATCCCCCGATTCCCGGCGGCGCGTTCCCTGAAAAGAACGAGGCTCCGAAGCGATCTCGAGTTCGACGCCAGCTTGAATTACGAACGCCGCGATAGGGCAGAGGGGGGCCGGGATGGGCCCGGCGGCGGCGGGAGGGCGGGGGCCGGACAGGTGAGCGGAGGAGCGGAGCGAACTCGATTCGATTTACCTTCGCGCTGCGTAATTACTCTTGCCGTCGATTCCCGGAAAAATTGCTATACCCGCGGAGAACAAATTGCCGCGGAAGCCGTCGGAATGCGAGAGAGAGAGAGAGTGAGAGAGAGAGAGAGAGATCCGACAGTCGCGGGAGCATCGTCGATGCCCGCGGAACGGATCCCGCAGTGATTGTGTGGAAACGTGCGGTGTCGATCGCAGGTGAAGCTGATCGGCGGAGGTGCGACGAAGGATAGCGACGCTGCGAAGATCGTCTACGAAGTCCTGACGGAAGCTTTGGGTGCCAGGGACACCGAGGCGGAAGCGACGGCGAAGGACAGCGAGGGTCTCGGAGATCGTCCGATCGGCGTGCAAGCTAGCGCGAGGATCCCGAGGATGGATCTCGCGCTGCTCCTGTTCGCCGTGCTTCTCAGGCAAGAGGGTGAGTCGATTTACGCGGTTCGAATCGAATCCGCGATCTCTATCGCGGCCGGGCCGGGCCGGGTCGGGTCGGGCCGGGCCAGGCCGATCGGTCGAAGCGTTTTCGGATACGTTTTTCATCCGTCGCTCGGAATTGCGTTTCCCGTCCCGCTCGAACGAGCGACGCGGCGACCAATTTACCGGGAGAGCACTCTCTCTCTCTCTATCTCTATCTCTCCCCCACCTCCCTCTCCTTCCTCGTCCCCTCACGCTTTTTCTCGAAAGTCTCGCGCGGATGGCCTTTTTTCGGGCGGCGTTTCGTCTAATTTGAAAATGGCTATTTGCCTGACCGGCGCTCTTCCGATATCGCGGCGACTGCTCTCATTCTCTCATCCTCTCTCTCTCTCTCTCTCTGTTTCTCTTTCTCTCTCTCTTCTCACTCCCGAATAATCTGCTTTTCCGCGGATGGAGCGTTCGTGGGAGGGGGGAGAGGCCGCCGCGAATGCTGACTACCGTTTCGGATGGCGCGCGCGGGGTGCCGGCGGCGGTACGGTTTAAAAATGGCACTCTTTCTAATTACGTTCCGCCGTTTCTTCCGCGTTATCGCGGCTTTTCCGAGGGGAGCCGACGCCGACGCCGACGCGAGCCTCTCGCAAAAAAAAGAAGGAGAGGGACCGACGCCGTAGGAGTCCCACACAGTGTCGTGGAACGTTCGGGGACAGGGAAGAGCGCGAACGGGGGGGAGTTCGGCGACCGGGAACAGAGGGGAAGGAAGGGCGAGCACGCGGGAAAGGGAACAGGAAGAGGGTTGCGAGTAAGAGAGCCGGTAGTAGGATGGCCGGAATTTATGACGTTCCGGTGCGCGGGCTCTCCGGGCGGGCGCGAGAGGGAAAAGCGAGAAAAAGAAGCGCGGCGAAGGGAACGCCGGCGTGGAATCGTTGCCGCAGAGCCGAATAAAAATCTCGCGGCCGGCCGCGACGCCGACCCGAAACACGTAACAGTCGATCCCTCCATCCAACGACTCCCTCCTTCTCCTCTTTTGGAAATTCAATCGATTTCTGGGAGATACGATTTCCGCGACACCTTGAGAGCCGAGCGGTCTCGCGGGATCGCTTTTCGGTAAATTCTGGGTTTCGAGGACGTCATAAAAGTGTCGCGCGAGACGACGCCGGAGTTGCTTGTAGCGCGACGAGCCTGCGACGAGCGTCGCAGCGTATAATAATAATAGTAATAATAATTTAGTACAGAGAGAGTGTTGTGATAGCGTCGTTATAACGACAGTACAGTAAATTCGCCCTAATTGAAGCTCAGCTTGTAAAAATCGACAATTTTGGAAGAGGAGATACAATTATTCGAGCCTCGCGGCTCGTTTTACAGTCACCGATTGTCAACAACTGTGAAAGCGAGCTATAAGGCTGGAATAATCGTACCTCCTCTACCAAAATTGTCCATTTTTTATTAGTAGCTGAGCGTTAATGAAGGAGTATTTACTGTAACTCCGAATAATAATCACGGTAATAATATTGAAAAATCGTAACGATAATATGGTAGCATCAAGCTATTTGTTTATTAATTAAGAAGTTCACATAGATTCCGGGCCGATGCACAAAAGTCGAGTCTTCCGCGAGTTTCAGAACGAGATGATACAGAGTCTGACTAATTAGTTTGTGTTGGACTTTATAATATTAGAAGAAAATGTGTAGATGAACGGTTTGCTTGATGTTAGACTTATTTTATCCAGTTTCTATCTTATATAGAAGAAGCGTGTTCGCTCCGCGAAAAAATGAGCGAGCCGTCAAGATGGCGGGTCACTAATTTTTTTATTTGCGGTTATTCGTATCACAAAGATACATTTACGAGTTATTTATTCAATTTATATGTCACTTACGCGCAAATGTTACGATGATAACACCTGTTAAAAATCGGAATAAATATTTCATTGTTACTACTTTTATAAACTGATATAAAACAGCTGTTTCTCGTGCACCGTAAATCTAGCGTTAATCAGAAAATTCGAAGCGTTCTGGCGTAATCAATTTACCTAAAACTAGTTATAAAATCACAAAAACAGAAAAGCACAGAGCTTTAGAGATTGAGAATAACAACAATAATAATAGGTCATCGACGATACGTCATCGATCAAGCGACATGGATCCCTAGTCTCATTGTTACTACTTTTACAAACTAATATAAAACAGCTGTTCTTTATGCTCCGTAAATCTAGCGATAATCAGCAAATTCTGAGTCTATCGACGTAACCAATTTACCTAAAACTAGTTATAAAATCACAAAAAGGAAAAAGCACAGAGCTTTAGAAATTGAGAACAACGATAATAATAGGTCACCGTCGATACGCCGTCGATCGAGCGACATGGATCCCTAGTGAAAGTTTCATTTACGATTCGCCTCGTCTCGAGGCTAAGTCCCAGCTGTCGGGATCGTATCGTTGATCCCCCGGCATGCTTCGCGGTCAGATTAATACGGATCCTCGGCTGTGAACTGTGCCCGAAAGAGCGTAGGTCCCGGCGCGACCGCGGGAAGGTCTGCTCGAATCGCGGAAGGGGGTTCCCGGTGAATAATAAAATTGAATTTACTCGCAAGAGAGTTTCTCGGAAGTTCCGTAGAGCCGAGCCTTGTGTTTGATTTTTAGAGCGGCGTTTCTCGCGGTTAAGTACAGGGGGAGAGAATGGGGCTGTGCGGCGGATCGCGTGCGCGATCGTGGAAAAAGTGCGCGCGGGCACGGTCGTGTTGGGTCTGAAAATTTCAGACGATAAACCGGCCGCAGGTAAGACGACGACTACGTCGACGACTACGACGACGTCGACGACGACGACGACTCGTGGGGGCAGAGCCGATTACCGTGAATAAGTAAAAGCCGCGTCTAGACCGGATATATCGGAAAGCGCGGACGAGAGAGCGCGACAAAGAACGCGCGGCGCCGCGCGGTGCCGAGCGGAACCGAGCCGCGAGGGGGAGCGGAAAGTGACGAGTTAATTGCGGGAGGCGAAGAGAAACTCGGTCGGCCGGTCTCGTTCATAAATTATCGGTATTATGCCGGGCAGACGCGCGACGGCTCTCTCGTTTATCAATATCGCGCGTTAGAACGCGGCCCGTCGCGCCGATCGGGACCCTGGGACGGCCGCCGCTTTTATAACGGGATAATATTAACTGTAAATATTTGTCCGTCGCTCCATTTGCGGCCGCGCTCGACAATCGTGCATACATCAACGTTAAACGAAGGCCGCGGCGCGCGGACGTGGCAAACCTATAATTTTGATTTTCGTGGGTCGCGACCGCGCGCGACATGACCCCGCGACCTTCGCCGAAACACCGTGGCCGAGAACAGCCGTTCGGGGCCGACGGCTACGCTTCCGTTGGAACGAAAGGAAAGAACCGACCGGCTTCCGTCGCGACGTTCCCGTCGAATTCCGGTGGATCGAGAGAGAGTGTATTCTTGTGTCTCCGGCATCGTTCGCGGCGAAACGTTGCCCTTGGGGCCACTGCGGAGTGCTCCGGGCGCAGGACCACAGCGCAGAATATTCCGCTGTGAAAAGAGCAGCCCGGAGAATCATTGTAGTTCGCGCGGGCAAATTCTTCGATGTATGATTTCGATTAAAAATGCCCCGTGGGCCGCGGATATCTGGCTACGCGGTGCTCGGTGCATGGTCTGTGCGGTATTCTATCCTTGTCGAGCAAGCGGAACGGAGGGTCTGCTAGCTTCTTCGATAATTTATTTAGTTATTTATTTATTTATCGAATATATACGGGAAGTTACCAGTTGTTCATAAAATTACAAGAAGGAAAATGCAAAAATTCAGAAGTTACATGTAATAAGCTAACCGCAATTCCTTGAATTAATCTGATAAATCTCTGCGGACCGCAATAACGTTGCGAAATTATATCAAGTAATACCTTTTAAATTGAACGATTAAAAAGATCGACGGACGTGCGCGCGCTATTTACGCTAAAGAAAACACGACGAAGCTCGGTACGATATCCATAAGTCGTTCCATGTTTCGGAATATGGGGAAGTTCGTTGGATGGTAAATGAAATATTGAAGCACGCGGGCGAAACTTCTTCAATAATGCTGGCGAATGAAGAATTCCGTTGATTACTTTACACGCAAAGATAATATCGTGTGTTTGCTTTGGAGCACTGTCCCTGGAGCTGATCTAGGGAACGAACGACGTTTCAGGGTGCACCGAGTCTAGGTAGGGCAAGGGCGCACGGGCCGCCCTCCGGGGCCAGGCTCGATCGAAATCGAAAGCAAGACAGATGGTGGCGCGTCGCGGACACGTCAAACTTCGAAGATTGAGGGTGGTATCCTGGTGTCATTTGCGTCACCCTGGGGGGGACGATCTAGATGCTCCGAGGCGCCGATTACACAGAATTCGCGGGACAGTTAACAGGGTGACGGGCCCTAGCGAAAGTGTAGCAGTCGATATACGGTAATTTCTTCCGGAAATGCCAGATTTCGGGTTGCTGTGAATTTTTCTGGGCTAGTTCCACGCCTATGTAATTTATTGGGACGACGATGCTCGTGTGTCGCGGCACGCGACGCGAATTCACGGAAGACAATGCAGGGTGGTCTGTTTTGGATGTGAATTGGGTAAAAAAGAACGCGGAGTTACGAGGAATCGAAGCATGTGGCCTTCGAATTACTTTCGAATTGTGTCATGTGGGCTCGAATTGCCTTTGAATCGTGTCATATGGTCTTCGAATTGCGTTCGAATCGTGTCATGTGGGCTTCCAATTGCCTTTGAATTGTGTCATATGGTCTCGAATTGCCTTTGAATCGTGTCACGTGGCCTCGAATTGCCTTCGAATCCTGTCACATGATCTCCAAATTGCCTTCGAATCGTGTCACGTAGCCTCCGAATTGCCTTCGAATCATGACACGTAGTCTCCGAATTGTCTTTGAATTGTGTCACGTGGCCTTCGAATTGCCTTCGAATCGTGTCACATGGCCTCGAATTGCCTTCGAATCGTATCACGTGTTCTCGAATTGCCTTCAAATCATG